AAAAAAAAAAAAAAAAAAAAAAAAGAAATCAAAGAAGAATGAAATAAATTAATAGATATACCATGTTCATGGATTGGAAGGCTCAATCTGAAGATGTCAATTTTTCCAAAGTTGATCTATAGATTCTTATATATACCTCCTATCATTGTTCCAGGGAAAAAGGAGACATTGTAGACAATGACAAGCTAATTCTGAACCTTATGTGCAAAGTGAAAAGAATCAAAACGATTTTGAAAATGAAGTTGGAGGAGACATATTACTAGATTTTATGCTTTACTATAAACCTACAGTAAGACAGACAATGTGGTACTGGAGAAAAGTTAGACAAATGGAATAATGGGATATAATAAAAAATCCAGAAAGAGACCCATACAAACAGAATCAACTGCTTTTTGATAAAGGTGCAAAGAAAATTTAGTGCAGACAGAATAGTCTGTCTACAAAAGAATGATGAAAATAAAAAAACACCAACAACAAGAAGAGCTGGCAAGAATGTGGAGCAATTAGAACACTCATATATTTGTGGTGGGAAGGCAAAATTTTACAGCCACATTGGAAAGACAGTTTGTAATCTCTTACTAAACATACACTTATCATATGACCCAGCAGTCCCATGCAAAGTGTTTAGTCAAGATAAATGAAAACTAAGTTCCCACAAAAACCTGTATGTGAATGTTTATAATGTTGCCTTTACACATCCCAAATGTTTTCAGCTGATGAACAGATTTTTTAAAATTGTAGTACATCCACAAAATCAAATACCTCAGCAATAAAAAGGAGTGAGGAGTGAACTATTGACACATACGAGGTCCCGGATGGATCTCCAGTGCATTCAGTGAAAGAAACCAGACTCAAATCTGTATGATCCCCCTGAAGACATCACGGAAATGGCTGAACTACAGGAATGGGAAAGAGGCTGGTGATGTGGGCAGTGGGCTGACTTCAAAGGACAGGATTGTTGAAGGTGACAGAGTCCTGATTGTGGTGATGACTGCCTAGCTGCGTGTGTCCAAATTCATAGAACCATATACTGATAACAGTGAATTTTACTGTAAATTGTAAAGTACTTTGACAGGCCAGGTGCAGTGGCTCATGCCTGTAATCCCAGTAGACTCATCTCTACAAGAAGTCTTAAAAATTAGCTGGGCATGGTGGTACACACCTGTAGTCTCAGCTACTCTGGAGGCCAAGGCGGGAGGTTTAGGCTGCAGTGAGCTATGATCATGCCACTGTCCTCCAGCCTGGGTGACACAGCAAGGCCCTGTCTCAATAATAATAGTATCAGGGTTGTATTTAAGGGAAAGGTCAAAATGACTGAACGCACCCCCTTTGGAGACAGACACTCTGCTCTGCTATGACTTGCAGGCTCCAGAGCCTGAGCATGGCTCGGTTTCCTCATCTTTAAAGTGGACAGAAGGGACCGAGCCTGTGCCCAAGGTCCCCCAAGCAGCTCTGGCAGTTGGAACAACACCCGGAAGCTTTACAGAACAAAGAATTCTGCGAGTTTTTGATAAGTTTGTTATCTGAATTTACACTTTTTTGTTTTTGTTTTGTTTTGAGACAGTCTTACTCTGTTGCCAGGCTGGAGTGCAGTGGCGCAATCTCAGCTCACTACAACCTCCACCTACTGGGTTCAAGCGATTCTCCTGCCTCAGCCTCTCGAGTAGCTAGGATTACAGGCACGTGCCACCACGCCCAGCTAATTTTTGTATTTTTAGTAGAGACCAGGTTTCACCATGTTGGCCAGGATGGTCTCGATCTCTTGAACACATGATCCGCCTGCCTCAGCCTCCCAAAGTGCTGGGATTACAGGGGTGAGCCACCGCACCCGGCCTATACTGTTTCTTTACAGAAGAATGAAAATGGTGCCCCCAGGCGCGGTGGGCGTACCTGTAGTCCCAGCTACTCGGGAGGCTGCGGCTGGAGGATCGCTTGAGCCCAGGAGTTCTGGGCTGTAGTGCGCTATGCCGATCAGGTGTCCACACTAAGTTCGACATCAATATGGTGACCTCTCGGGATCGGGGGCCCACCAGGTTGCCTAAGGAGGGGTGAACCAGCCCAGGTTGGAAACGGAGGTCAAAACTCCTATGCTGATTAGTAGTGGGATCGCGCCTGTGAATAGCCACCGCACTCCAGCCTGGGCAACATAGCAAGACCCCGTCTCAGTTTAAAAAAAAAGAAAGAAGAAGAATGAAAATGGTTTACTTGTCCTCACAGACTGACACTTTCCCAAGGGTAGGGCTAACCACAGAGCATCACCAAGGTTTGGAGACATACAAATATTAAGTCAAAACAGTCAGGGAATTTTTTTTAAAAAAGCTAAATCCAGGCCTGGCGTGGTACTTTGTAATCCTAGCACTTTGCGAGGCCGAGGTGGGTAGATCCCCTGAGGTCAGGAGTTCAAGACCAGCCTAGCCATCAGGGTGAAACCCCATCTTAAAAAAAAAAAAGCTAAATCCAGACAACTGACATACATCTATCCTGACAAAGTTAGGCAAATCCCCAGTTTTTTGGTGTATCTTTAAAAATGTTTTTTCAACTGCATTTTAACTTTGGTGGTGTTAACATTCACCAGGAAGGAGGTCATGAAGAAGCCAACAGCCCTGAAACTGCGTCCCTGCAGCCATCCCTTCTCAAGATGGAGAATGAAATAGGAATGCGACAGGACTAAGTTTGTTGAATTTCGTCTTTATAGGGAGGAAGAGCAAGCTGTCTTCCTAAAGGCTCCCGGTGGATACTTGCTAAGGAAAAAGAAAAATACAGTATTTATTGTACTTGCCAAGAGCGCCAACAGGCACAATACATAATAACTGTCCCTTAAGACGTGGAATGCTGAGATTGGTAGATGACTGTGTTACTGGAGACTTTAACATGGGAGGTACAGATGAAAATCCTCCAAAAACAGAAAAAAGAACTCTGCCACCGTGAGCCTGGAATGCCTGGCAGGAAGAAGTTATCCCCGTTTCTGGAATAACTCGCCCACGCCTATTTTATGTCTGACTCTCTGCTCTTAGGGCTCTGCCAGTGCTCATGGGCTCCCTGATGGTCACACCGGGACCCAGGCCCCACGCCAGAAGGGACACACAGGATCAAAGACTACACGTGCCTCCCACCGGAGTCACCAGCGACCATGCTCCCTGCAGAACAGGCCCACAGCCCTGTGGCTCCCACTCTTCAGGCTGAGGCGCACATGCCATCAAAGAGATGTATTTGCTCCCAGACCCATTTATGCCAGTGATGCTGCTACCATAATTACACAGGACAATTAACGTTGCATAAATCAGCCCGGATGCGGTGGCTCCCGCCTGTAACCCCAGCACTTTGGGAGGCTGAGGTGGGCGGATCACTAGAGCTCAGGAGAACAGCCTGCCTGTCAACATGGTGAAACCCTGCCTCTACCAAAAATACAAAAAAATTAGACAGGTGTGGTGGCGCACGCCTGTAATCCCAGCTGGAGGTCATTGCCTCCAGCCTAGCTGACAGAGCTAGACTTTGTCTCAAAAAACAAACAACCAAACAGACAAACAAAATTAAATTTAAAAAATTAAAGCAAAAAGGAGGTAGTTGTTATTTCAATAATAAAGTGAAATTTTTAGAAAGAGCTCAAAAAAAAGAAAAAGAAAAAACAAAAACAAAACTTGAATTAGGTTTAAAATAATTGGAAAGGGGGCGGGCGTGGTGGCTCACACCTGAAATCCCAGCACTTTGGGAGGCCAAGGTGGGCAGATCACGAGGTCAGGAGTTCGAGACTAGGCTGACCAATGTGGTGAAACACGCCTCTACTAAAAATACAAAAAATTAGCCGGGCTTGGTGGTGCGTGCCTGTAATCCCAGCTACTGAGGCAAGAGAATCATTTGAACCGGGGAGGTGGAGGGTGCCGTGAGCTGAGATCGCACCAATGCACTCCAGCCTCGGCGACAGAGTGAGACTGTCTCAAAAAAAAAAAAAAAAAAATTTAAAGGAAAAATAGAGACACACATTCCAATGGAAACATGTGAACATACAGAGACAACCCAAGGATGGGACGTGACGCATCTGTGGGATGCTTACAAGGTATGAGCTTCAGAGATGTGGAAGGCAAAAACAGACCAAGCTTTGAGGGTGTGATTTTATGAAATGCTGCCTTTACCAGTGCTCAGGAAAGCCCAGTGGAGCTTCGCCCACACTCCCATCAGTGACAGCCTTAGGGAGGGAGGCTGTCTAATGCGGTGTAGCTGGACCCTCACCACCTAAGTCCGACATTCCACCAGGCAGCAAGGTCCCTTCAGCCTCACTCCAGGTAGCACCTCAGCCGGGCTCGCAGGCCATATCCCAGCACCAGGGCCCCACCCATCGACCGCTTTAGAAGCTGACCTTGGCTGGCTGGGTGGCTCATGCCTATAATCCCAGCACTTTGGGAGGCAGAGGTGGAAGGACCTCTTGAGCCTAGGGGTTAGAGAACAGCCTGGGTAACATAACAAGACCCCATCTCTATAAAAAATTTCAAAATTAGCCGGGCGTGATGGTGGTGCTGGTGATCCAGCTACACGGGAGGCTGAGCCGGGAGGGTGGCTGGAGCCCAGGAGGTCAAGGCTACATGAGTGGTGACTGCCCAGGGCACTCAGAGGGTTACCCCGTCTCAAATAAACAAATAAAAGCAAAAATTGATCTTGTCACATATTGTCTGGAAAGCCTTTAACAGTTGGCTTCTTTGTGCCTGGCTGTGGTCACCACACACCTCCAGCCCTCCGCCCAGGGGCAGGGTCCCTGCTTCCTGTCCTGCCCTTCCCCCCCAGCTCCCTTTCTCCAAGCTCAGCTGCCATTCACATCCCCCTTCTCAGGAAGCCCCCAGGTCTCCCCTTTGACCTCACTTCTCTGCATTCCAAACTCCAGGGCACAGTCCCACCAAGCCCTCACCCCAGGCAGACACTCCGGGAAGGAGGGAGGGAAGGAGGGAGGGAGGGAGGGAGGGAAGGAGGGAAGGAGGGAAGGAGGGAGGGAAGGAGGGAGGGAAGGAGGGAAGGAGGGAGGGAAGGAGGGAGGGTTTCTGATCTCGCAGGGGCTGCACTGGGCAAGTCCTCCGCACCGGGAAGCCTGGGGGACCCGGGAGGAGGCGGGCGGGGGCCATGCCGGGTGCTCACCGGGCAGGAGGCCCGGGTTTCGGGGGAGTGGGGTGGGGGGCAGGCCACGCAGGACCCTTCGGGTCCCGTCACGGGGACTTTGGCTTCTTCTTAGGAAGCGAGGCGGGTCTGGTCGCCGGGTGGAATCGCGTTTGGATCCACCGGGATCCCGCCGCAGCCGGGGATCAGGTCCCCGGGGAGCAGGGCCGTCCCGCCCCTGCGCCCGCCAGCCCGGCTCTGCCCCCCGCACCTGCGCGGCCCCGCGGGACGCCCCCGCCCCGCAGCAGCCGGGACCACTTGGCGGCCCTGCGCGCGAGCGTCACCAGGTAGCCGGACACGAACTCCTCGTAGGCGGCGGCGTCGAAGTCCTCGGGCCTCTCGAATCCGTACGGGTCGATCCTGCAACACCGAGAGAAGGGGGCCGGCGTCCCCGAAGTTTCCTCCAGGGCGTGGGGGGCCCACGTGGGGACCGCAGCCGCCGGGGACGCCCGCACCCTGCGCCACCCACCTGGGGACCCGCGAGCGCTCGGCGGGCTCCATGCCGGGAGGAGGCGCGCACCGAGCGGGACAGGCGGGTCCCGAGTTCGCCTCCCGGCTCCCGGGCGCTGGAGTCCTTCCGGCGGGGCCGCGGGCGCGGGGGGCGGGGCGG